CGAAACCTCAGAGCTAGAACTGGATCAGACGCAGGTGTGTGTTAATTCGGGGGCGCCACGACCTCAGGCTGGGTGTTGATGTCTCTCTCTCTCTCTCTCTCTCTCTCTCTCTCTCTCTCTCTCTCTCTCTCTCTCTCTCTCTCTCTCTCTCTCTCTCTCTCTCTCTCTCTCTCTCACTATCACTAGGTGCTGTAGTATTTATTGTCCAAATGTGTATGTACGCTTGTATGAGTGTGGAAAGATTTGTTTGTGTACGTGTGTGGGTATGAAAGATTGTGTGTGTTTGCGATGGAAACGGCGTGCGGGTGTGTTGGGTGTGCGTGTGGGTGTGGTCATTACGTGGGAGTGGGTGCGGGCGCGCGGCGGGTGAGGGTGAGAGAGGGCGGGAGAGCGAAGCGGGGGGAAACATGTCGACAGTGGGCGCGCGCGAGAGGGAGAGCGAGAGCGAGAACAGTCAAGCGTGAGCGAGGTTAGCGGTAACAGCGCGCCCTCGCTGTCTCCCTCCCTCGCGCTTACTTCACTTCCTGTCTCAGAGCACCGCTAGTTTACTCGCTCCTCACTCTCCTCACTCCTACGACTCCTCCAGGTACGACCTCCCCTCGCTGTCTCCTCCTTCAGTGGGAGAAGAGACTGGAGGCGTAATTCCAGGTCGGTTTTTGATATTTTTTCGGAATCAGGCCTTCCCACCGACCAGGCAGAGCAGATGGCTGGATAAAGAGATAACGTTTCGTATTGTGCTGAAGTGCTCTTGTGGCAGCTTCCTTTGCTTATCTCCCTCTTACCTTATCTCGCGAAGAGGAGATGGAGGAGGACAAAAAGAGGGATAAAACCGATGTTATTTTTTAGTGTCGGTGTTCAGGCAAAAGTGATATATTTTCTCCTTTAGATTGCGAATGGTGCACCTGTTGTGGATAAGGAATGGCGTATCTTCATGATGTCTCTTTGGATGTGTTTGTAATCGGGAAAAAAAAACCTACAACCCTCCTGGAAAGAGTGTGGAAAGATGGTGGAAGAAAGTTTAAACGGAAAACAAGACAAGAAAAAAATAAGAAAAAAGGTAGAGAAAATGGAGTGTAAGAGCGAACAGAGAGGAAAACTCGCCAAGGAAAGCAGGCCAGATAAAAAAGAAAACATAAGAAAAAAATAAAATCCAGAAAAAAATGAAACTGAAACAAAACATGTACAGGAAATATACCACGTCACAAAGGGCAGCTGTCACCACACATGTCACCACCACAGCAGCGAGGCGGAGCAATCGATCTACATCACTTTAATTAAGCTTCTTGGCGGGGAATTAAGCTGTGATTCCAGAAGCTTATAGGAGCGCAGGGAAAGAGAGAGAGGCCAGCAGACCGCCTTGCCTGCTGTGTTAGGTCGTGCTTCTGTTGTTTATTAGTTTATCGACGCGCGTGGAAATGGGGTTGTGAATTTTAAAGGGAGAGTGAGTGTGTGAGAGTGAAAGTGTGAGTGTGAGTGAGAGTGAGAGTGTGAGTGTGAGAGTCTGTGTGTGTGTGAGATTCTGTGTGTGTGTGAGAGTCTGTGTGTGTGTGTGTGTGTGTGTGAGTCTGTGTGTGAGAGTCTGTGTGTGTGTGTCTGTGTGTGTGTGAGAGTGTGTGTGTGTGTGTGTGTGTGTGTGTGTGTGTGTGTGTGTGTGTGTGTGTGTGTGTGTGTGTGTGTGTGTGTGTGTGCGCGTGTGCGCGTGTGTGCGCACGCGCGCGCGTGTGCGTGCGCGCGCGTTGTGTTCATCCCGTATGCATGTATGCGTGTGATAGTGTATATGCATTCAGACGTACATACATTTTATGTACAAGTGATTTGCTGCATGCGTGTGTCAGTACATCCATGCCCAAGTACGTGTTTACATGAATGTACACGTCCTAGTCTCCTTGTATTTACGTATACACGATACATACCTACGTGCTTGTAATCCTATACCCCCTCACTCCCGTCCAGCCCTTGTGCTGTCTCCGCCGTGCCTGGAGGCGTCCAGACTGTATGCGTGGCGATCTCAGAAGAGGGTGGGGGTGGGGAGGGGTGGGGAAGCGGTAGGGGGTCGGATAGAAGGAGGCTCTTCAGTTGTGCGAGAACCGTGAGGGACTGCACGTCGCCTCGCCCTTCGTTTTCCCTCCTTGTTCATGGTGTGAGTTTTGTTCTTAAATTCTTTTATGGGGAGGTTTTCTAGATTCTTGAATGTTTACGGGCGTGTTCTTTATTTCGCATTTTTTTCGCGTCTTCCTTCGTTTTCTCTTTTTTTTAGTGGTATGTTTTTAAAAATGTTTTTGTTGGATGTTTTCTGATTTCTGGAATATTTGCTGTTGTGTATTTTTGTATTTTTTCTGGGTGTGTTCTATGCTTATTGTCTTTATTTTTATACTTCTCTTTTATTGGGGTTATCTCTGTTTCTCATGTTTTCTTACATCCGTATTTTGTTAAGAGGGGTGTTTTCCAATTTTATTTATATTCATTTTTTCCTTATTGTTATTATTAGTATGTCTACTTTATCCTTCATTTTCTTGTTTGCCGGCGTGTTCTCTATTTATTTATCCTATATGTTATTTTTTTCTATTCTTTGCGTTGGTGTGTAAATGTTATTGCTGTTTAATGTACTGTATATATTTATTCACATCTTTATTGACATATTTTCCGTTTATTTTCAATTCTCTTTTGTGTTCATATTTGTTTCTTTCTTTTTAGCGCGTTCTTATGCCCTCTTTTTCAGTCCATCTCATTCTCATTCATATTTCTTTTTTATGGGCGGGTTGGCTATTTCTGATTCTCGCATTAGACGTTCTTATTTACTGTTATTATTTTTATTATTATTATTATATCCGGGTGGTATTTTTGGTTGCCGTGCTGTTATTTTTAACGTTTCTTTATACCTCGTTCTTCGTTTCACTGCTCTGTTCTTCATTACTCCTTCGCCTTTTTTATTGATTTGTTCTTCATTTCTTTATCCGTTTTTGGATTGTGTTCTTGATATGTTCTTGATATTTCGTTAGTTCTTCAGCCTCGTGTATATAGCCATGGATTTGTTTTCTGTTCTTTCGGATGTTCTATGTCTTTTACCTTTTTTTTTTATTGATTCCTGTTCTTCTTTTTGATCCGGCTATTCTTCTTCCCTTATTCTCCTTTTCATTGGTTCTTCTTAATATGCCTTTTCATCGATTTGTTTTCTTATTTCTCCATTATCTCGTCTCTGGTTTGTTCTGTGTTGCTCTTTTATCGGTTTGTTATTTGTGCCTCATTCGTCTTTAATTTGGATAATAAATATTTTTTTGGATAATAATTATTTTTTTCCTTCTCTCGTTCTTATGATTTATCACTCATTGTCTCTCTGTCTGATTATCTTCGCGTTTTTCAGTCTGTTTCGTTCGTTTCGTTATTATTATTTTTTGTGATTATTAATTTACGATGTTAATGTGTTTATTTGTTTATAATTGATTTGTTATCGTAATAGTATTGGTATGTGTGTGTACATGTGTGCATTTATGTATGTATGTCCGTACGTATGGCTGTGTGAGTATGTATCAGTATTTGTATGCATATATGTATGTATGTATGTATGTACGTATGTGGGTGTGTATATATCAGTATTTATATGTACGTATGTATGTATGTGTGTATATATAATGCTTGTGGGTATAGATGTGTGCGCGTGTGCACTTGTGCTTTAACTTGAACCAAGCAGTGAAAAATGGCTTGGCCTCTCTCACCTTGAATTCTTTAAAATACTGTTACCATGTATTTTTTCTCTCTTTTGTCTTGAGGGTGTCGTACGTCTGGCAGGGGAGGCTAAATGCTCAGTATAGTGTATAATTTACTGCTATGACGATTTTTTTTTGTCAGGCTCTGAATATCACGTTATTGTCGTCGCCGTTGTCTTCATGATTGTTATCGTCATCACCACCATCATTGTCATCGTCATCGTTATCACCACCATCATCATCACCATCATCATCATCATCATCATCATCATCATCATCATCATCATCATCATCATCACTATCATTATTCTATCCGTCATCAAAGATAAAGGACATGATTCATATAATGTGTGTTCTTGCACGTACGTGAATGTACATTTGTGCTTGACTGAGCATGTTTATGTGAGGGTATGTGTCTCAGTGTGTGCAAGGGTGCCTGTTGGTGTGATATCCATGTAGAGTTTGTGTATTTAACATTTTGATGCTCGTACACGCGTGTTATATATGCGGGTTTAAATCCCTCACGTAAATCCCCCACTTTTATTTACCTTTAGATGTTATCTTTTATGTCATTATTGTATGTTGTGGTAATGGGTGTTATTTTTGTTATTTGTGCTAACTCATCTAGTAATGTAGTTACAGTAATTATTATATTTTAGCGTTATTGTGTAATTTTGTTTGTGTGCGTTTTGATTGATATCAGTGGATTAATGGCATTACTGTTGCTGTGTTTTTTTTTTTTGTCGTTTTTGATATCGCACTTATCAGCATTTATCATCAGTTAATATTCACCACTTCAATTTACACTGTCATACGCAAAGGCATTGGGAAACATATCGAATACAAAAGAAGAAGATCCCAACAGATCGCCAAGGAAGAAAGAAAGAAAACCCATGAACAGTTTAGCTCCCCCAAAGAATAAAAATCTGCCGGAGGGCAAGTCAGGGAAATAAAACCCAACTCCCTCCTCCCTTTAAGAAAAAATAAAGGAAAAGGGGTGATCTCCCTCCATCTCTGCAATAAAGACAATAATAAGAAAATGGGGAAAATAAAGAGGGTACGATCACAGAACATCCTCAAACGGAATGATATATATATGAAGAAAAGAAAAGACATCACAAAACGCGCGATTACAAAACACCCTCAAACGAAATAATATAAATAGAAAGAAAGAGAGAAATTACCAAAGCGAGCGATCCCAAAACAACGTCAGAGGATGCTGCCTTGTCATAGAAAAAGGAAGAAGAGAATACGAAATCGCGCGATAACAAAACAGCCTCAAAATTCGAGCACGGACGTTTTAACCAGGCTTCCACAACAGGTATTTATGTCTGGCGGGGCAGGGGAAGGGGGGGAGTGCTGCAGGGAGTCTGTTGCAAGCGGACCAAGTGGGAATCCCTCTTTTGTGTGTGTCGGTGTTTGTGAGTATCATTG